AAAAGACTACCATTAAAAAGTTAACTTCCTTCTTTTTAATACTGAAATCTTTGGAGAGCACGCAACTTTTCTGGCGGTGTATGCTCTGTGCGTGTGGGTGTACACATGCTGCCTTAGGAAATGCCCGTAGAGCTGCATTATGCTCCATTGTTGTCACATACATCTTCCTAATTCTTCTCTCCTCCCTTTCTCTCCCTGCTTCCACGCAGAAATGGAAAACCTTATATAAAACTGTCATGCAAAAAAAAAAAAAACAAACCAAAAAATTCTTGCTGTAATGTTAGCACTGAAGGTATTACTCCAATTAATAACCACATCCTCTGTGGGTTTAATTATTGTTTTATGGTAGTTATATTATTCTTATTTAATTAGTTTCATATAACAGTCCTCAGGAAAATATTATTAGTGATTTTTTTCAAAGATATATGTGACTACGAAGAAAAAGAGTTGTAATTTTCTGTCTTTGTCTTCATTAGTTTTTCTATCTTGTTCATCATTATGACATCTTGATAATATCCAGGCTAACTGTAGTAGTTCCCCCTGAATGTGGAAAAGATAAAAAAACGTGCAGTAAGGATTTCATCACAGCTGGAGATTTTTATTTAAAGCTTTAAATATAGGAAGTCGCCTTTCTTTTCTTGCATTTTTTCCCTGCATTTCTGCTTTCGCTTCTTTTTACTTTCACGTACTTTTTTTTTAAAGAACTCTGTTTTGTGGAGCAATTAAGACATAGTAGTAATGTCCAAAATCTATCTTGACTGTTATCAAAGTGGATTTTGCAGTCGTGTTTTAGTACTTTGATGGTAACATCAGACAACCTAATATGCCGTTACCCCTGGTGTCTTTCTTGCAGCTTCTAATTTTACACAGTTTTAGTTCGATATATAATCTGATGTCCTTGAATTGCATGGCCGTGGAGATAGGTCTGAACAAGGTTATAAAGGTTATTAGTCTTTTCGCTTGCTTTCCAGCAAACTCCTGCACACCCCTGTCAACACGGCAGCCTGCACCTGGGAGACACCATGAACAGTCCAGGGCTTCGGGGGCTTCCTCTGAGCAGACAGAAATGGTCGTGAATTAGTAGTAGATGTAGAAAAGAAGCAACTCTCAAAGCCTGTGCTACTCAGGCACTACCTGGATTAAGCAGCATCCAGGCTGACATCTGGCTTTAGACAATTCCAGCTACATCTTTTGGAGCATCAAGTTCTGTATATTTAATTTTCTGGTGTTTAATGGGCTTGAGAGAAGCATTGGCAGTTACCATAATGCATCTAGTCAGTTGGTATAGTTCTGCTGGAAACCATACTAGTAGGAAAAACAGTGGTGGGAAATGTTTTACTAGATTGTTATTTCTCTGTTGAGTGATAGAATGCTTCTGTTTGACAAAAAATACTCTTAAGGAGAACCTAAGGTGTAAGCCTAAGGTGTAAGGTATGATCGTAAATCATACTAAGCTTTTGATATTTTACTCTCTATACAAACAGTTTAGTCCTAGGTTCTTCTCCATTCTCCCAATTACATATTGTAGTCTATGTACCTAAATTACTCTGTTACTGAAATTAGAAGACGCTTAAGGTGTTCTTCATTGTCAGGCAGCAGGCCCAGCTAGGTGAATTGCACTTAAGACTGCTTCAGATTATAAACCGATTTGTCTGGTTTATTTTCGACACTTCAGTGGTTCAAGTTAAAAGATACTCTCTCCTCTTACATAAAACTGTTAGCCTCTGAACTTTTTGTTCAAGTAAATACTTTTTTTAAATTTTTTTATCACAGGGTCAAACAGCCCTCAGAGTTATAAAATACAACACATAACAAATACTGGTGTTGCTAGGCACTACTTTAGGTATTCTTTCTGCCATCTTTATGCCTATAGCGAACATCTCACTGTGGAAATGGTTTTGATTGTATTTTTTCACTTATTATGCAGTTTGGGATTTTTTTGTGTTAAATCAGTATTAATCCATGAGTGTTTTTTCTCTCCCTTATTTTTAGGTCATTGGAATATTGGATGTGTTCACACCAGATGTAACACTGGAGAAGTTTAATGACTTGTAAGTTCTGAGTTGTTTGTGTTTGGGAGCAGGGCATCATTGCTTGTGTGGGAGGAAGGGTTGTTGCTTTTTTAAATTGAGAATTCCAAAATTGTTGCTTCGTGGATTTTTTCTGAATTTCATCTTAATATAACTCTCATGTGCAACTTCAAAATTGGTAGGCTGAGGTTTTCAGACTGTCATTAGAACCAATTACCTATTTTATAAGGTGTGTACTTCTTTCAGCCCTTAGTAGATGGCAGTTTGGTGGCTTCCCTAATCCACCTTTCAAGTACCGATTCCTTACCCTAAGGCCCAGGTTGCCCAAATGATAGGACAATTCTTAACCCAAACAAGTAGGCTGAAAATGATGCCTGCTACACAGCACGTCTCTGGTGTGATCCATCCTAATTCAAGGATTAATTCAAAACTGCTGATGCTGCTGAATTTTTTAGTGGTTATCTGCGCTGTGGTTTGTTGTACTCCCTGACTGGTTTCCCAGTCCAGTGGTCCAAAGAGCACGTGATATAGATCGTTTCTAGCACCAGGCCTGTACATCTCCCTGACCTTTTGGCATCTCAGACACAAGATATTTAGCATGTCTGTTGTTTTGCTTGTGGATCCCACTGCAATTCTTGTGAATTAGAGTCACTAGAGAAACGGTAGTCAGAAGTCCTGGTGGACTTAATGTAGATTTCGTGTTACATTCGTAGAACTGTTCTGGATTTCATCTAATGTAGCTATGTTTTAAAACCAAACTTGCATATTTATATGTTAACAAAGAAAGCTATCTGACAGGAAAATGTAGAAAATGAAGTACAGAAAACACGGACTGTGTGTTCATACTGATCATTTGGGCCAGAATGATCATTGAGCCAAAAAGGATGTTGTCCATATTGCTTATTGTGCTAGCATTTTATACAGCATATGTAATAAAATGCACATGTATATGATTAGCATTCAAGCACTGTGTTTTAAATGGAACCCTAAAATCATCCTTCAAGCTTTGGAGGCACAAGTCAAGTAGGAGGGACATTTTTATAACTGAAACTGCATCGTGTGGACCTATGGCAAAATTTACTTTCAAGACTTTGGGCAAGCTGTTAGAGATGAGCAGAGGTAGATGTGTGTACATTTAAAACAAAAGTGGAGAATCTGCTTTTGTGAATTAAAGGACGGATGGGTCATTTGAAGGAGACTTTCTTTTTGCTGACCAGTCATGAGACGTTATCTGTGGCCTATTGTATAAAGATCAAATTCAAGCAGATTTGGGGCTAGAAGCAGCAGAAGCAAGGTGGATGGTTTTACCAAAGCCAGTCCCTACAGTTCATATTAGCTAAGAAACCCAAGGTCTCAGACAACTTCTAGCTGTAGCATGCCCCTGCTCTACCTGCCACTCTGCTCTCCTGCTCCTCTACTCTACCAGACAATGGAACAAAGATTGAAGAC